AAATAACATAGGAAAGGAAGTTTATACATGTATGAACCTGTTGCTTTTCTCAACAGCCCTGGAGTTTCACGTATTGTACCTGAAATAGGAGTCGCACATTGACAGTGTATATCTTCCGAGACAGTACTGTCATCTGGGGCATACAGTGCTTGGTTCATGGATGTCTGATTATGGAGTGCTGTTGAAGAAATAGGTCACCAGCACTCAAAAAGTTTAAAAATGAATAAGTCCTTTTTATTGGACCATGGTGTCACGACAATCGAGAAAAGCCGACGTTTCGGGGCCACGCAGGGTCCCTTTCTCAAGGCAGAAAATGTGACAATGTGATAACACCCACTTACTACATTTTGACCCCATATTGTTAATTAATTAATAGAACACACCCCCGGTGATGTCAGAACGGCGGGGAAAAAACGCCATATTTAAAATGCATAATCTCATTTAAAATCATGTGTATATAAAACATGTATATATAAAACATCAGAATCACTTACTAAAAGATCCCCATGGTCTGATGTTCAAAATCGGTGCTGTGGCGGTATGTCGTCCGTCATAAACAGTGGTCTTTATGTTGCATCATTAAGTGGTATAGCAGTATTGGGTACATTTTTTCTTTTGCTCAACTATTTGGGCAACCACATATACAAATACCCCTATTGTGATTTCATATATAATATGGAATCACAGGGAGAACATCTGGAGGACACAACTTACAGCTGTGCATTCAACAAACATGAAATTGATTCCATACTATTCCCTGCTAACTCTGTTGCAGCGTTTGGCTCTGACTCGGCAATTGATCTCTTTAGAGACCTAAAGAAACTAAAGAAAAAACATGTGGACTTGGAGTTACACGGATTTACTCTTTCAGAATATTATAGAGCGAAAAAAATCCCTAGAGGATTCCGGATACGAAACCAACCCACTATAGGAAGACAGAGCAGAGAATTTTGTGATAGGTGGTGTGCAATCTCTACACAAAACTTGTTTAATTACATGCTCCTTGTAATTGAGGAAATTAAAACACAATTGTGCCAAATTAACAAAGACACCCTGTTAAATGAAACAAAGATCCGTAATAAAATGGCTGATGATGGTGCATTTAATATTGAAATGGAAAGGATTAATTCTGAAATACGTATCTATGCTGATAAAATTTGTGCTGCAAAACGTGAAAAATTCAAACAAGTATGCCAGGACTACCAGGATGGTAGAGTATATCCCTGGCTAACTGGGAACTCCTTCCAAAGACGACGCAGAGGCGACGTGGGGGAACAAGACAACACTTCAACAAACTGAATACTAGCTCCAGCGAGAGAGAACGACCCACGGAAAATCCATCAACAGATAGTTGATGTAACTACAACAAAAATGCAGGACACTGCCACTACAGCCGGAGCAGCCCCCTCATCTACTCCTTTTTTAGGAAAGATTGGAAAAAACGCACAAGAAGAAGCAGGAAGAAGAAGGAACTCAGGACCATCTATCAACACCAGGCAACAACGATTCAAAAATGCCCGATAATTAATCTATCATCCAGAACCATCTCCGGTATTGAAAATCATGTCCTCAGTAAGGGCTTTTCATTTTGTCCATCTCCAGCTTTCAATGACTTCCAGTACTATCCTAAACATGTACTTGAACACACCCTCAAAGTAGCTAAGGACAGGTTTAGCACTCCTAAACCCCAGGAGGCACGTTTTAACGATACATTGTTTGTAACTAACTTCAATTCCCACTCATACCAGGTGAAACGCACGTTACACCGTAACATGAATATCCTTAGAGCTGATAGGACCTTGGCCCCTGTCGTAAAACGTACACTGCGTGTTGTCCACTCGGGAAACAAATCTCTACAGGACTACCTAGTTTGTGCCGATCCACACTCCAAATATGGTACTGTACCATGTAAACTCTCTAGCAAACAGGGATGCTATAGATGCCATCATTGTAGCGTCTGTAACGCCCTTATGACTGGTGAAGTATTCTTTCACCCATATACGGGCAAGAAATTTCCTATCCACAGCTATCTGAACTGTGTATCGGATTACTGCGTATATATATTGAAGTGCCCCTGCTCACTGGTTTACGTGGGAAAAACTATTAACCCGTTTAAAAAACGATATCAGAAACATAAAAGTGATATCAAACTAGCAATTGAAGATACAAAACAAGGAAAAGATGTTGACCCAAATAAACCAGTGGCGATACACTTTGCACAACTGAATCACCAGATACATGAGCTGAAAGCAATGGTTATCGAACACGTACCGAGACCGCACAGAGGTGGCAATAGAGATAACTTATTATTACGAAGGGAGGCTTACTGGATACATACTTTGAATACAGTGAAACCAAGAGGACTTAATTCCTCTCTATCTTTATCATGCTATCTAGTTGAGTAGCTACAAAAAACCCCTGTTCATGATGCTCATATGATCACCTTTATCTAGTTGCTTTGATATTTTTCAAATAAACTAGATATGCCGAATCACGTAATTTTATTAAATTGTCACTTTAATTGACCAATAGCAAATGTGCAGAGATCCCCTATGCTAAAAATACACCAGTCTATCCTTAAAACCCCTGTTCAGGATTCTCATATGATTACCTCTACCTAGATAATACCCCTTAATACTCTTAAAGAAATTAGATATCTCTAATAGATCAATAGCATATGTTTTAGAGATCCCTTATGCTAAAAATACACCAGCTTATTCTTAAATACATTAGTTGACACCAATGTACACCAGTGTGTGCTATTAGTATTCCAAAAAATACTCCAAGAAATACTCTATAGAAATATCTCATGATGTATTTACACACATCTTTGAAATAATGTCTCTAGTTGTATACAATACTAATTATATGATCCTAGAGTCGATTTTTTCATGTTATGTTTATTCGTTGGTATGCCCTACATGTCCTATGTGAGATACTGTCTGTACGTATATATGTTGTTTCTCCTATGTCTGACAGTCTCTATTATGTTATGCTTTGTTCTCTTATGTTCTTCGTTTCTCTGTATGTTCATTGTGATTTTGTATTCACTGGTGAAAATCTCTAGTCTTATTATACTGCATGTATATGTGTTTTATCTCAAATGCTATGTAATTCCCCAATCTGATGTCCGGTGCTGTGCCTGTGTGATGCTGACACTTGTATACTTGTCGTATGACGGTCTCATCCGCACAGAGCTGCTATATAGGTCGGCACATGCGCAATATGATAGAGGAGAAATTGTATCTCCCGATCGCCATGGTTACTAATGACGCGTATTGAATGCGCCGGTATTCGGCAAGGCTGTGCACATCCTCTGATATCGGAGAGCAATACTGCTATACCACTTAATGATGCAACATAAAGACCACTGTTTATGACGGACGACATACCGCCACAGCACCGATTTTGAACATTAGACCATGGGGATCTTTTAGTAAGTGATTCTGATGTTTTATATATACATGTTTTATATACACATGATTTTAAATGAGATTATGCATTTTAAATATGGCGTTTTTTCCCGCCGTTCTGACATGACCGGGGGTGTGTTCTATTAACTAATTAACAATATGGGGTATAAATGTAGTAAGTGGGTGTTATCACATTGTCACATTTTCTACCTTGAGAAAGGGACCCTGCGTGGCCCCGAAACGTCGGCTTTTTTCGATTGTCGTGACACCATGGTCCAATAAAAAGGACTTATTCATTTTTAAACTTTTTGAGTGCTGGTGACCTATTTCTTCAACTGTTCGTTTTGCACGGTGCCATCCGTGGAGTTACTACAAGCACCATCCCTATGTACTGGCCGGGACTGCTGAAAGGTGTGCGGAGAGCACCCTCACCCTACTGCAACTGATTATGGAGTGCTTCACAGAAACACTTGTGACCAGGAAAGAAAGAAAGAAAGAAAGAAAGAAAGAAAGAGGGGTCTCTCCGGTGAGCCACCAGGTCAGGCTCACTCAGTGTACCTGTGGGTCCACAGTTGAGTCCGAAGTGATACGTGTCAAGTATTCCGGAGAGCGTAGAAATTCAGTCCAATGGAACCATATTTTATTAAAGGAGGTTTGCAATTCAGGGGTCAATGCCGTCATGTCCTCCATTCGCCAGATTTCATTAATTTTGCTTAGCCACATTTTCACCGTAGGTGGTCTGGTATCTTGCCAGAGTACAGAAAATCATGCTTTCACTGCATTGAGCAGATGTGGTAACACCGATCTCAGGTACCCCTTTTTTGGGATTGTATTGTGGTGCAGAAGGAAAAAGGTCGGTGTCTATGGAATGTCTTGGTCAGTAAATGTGGGCAAAAGTAGCCTGATCGCTCCCCAGCATTCTTGTAGAGCCGGACAAGTCCAAAAAATTTGCAACATGGTGTCCTCGGTTTGGCCGCATCGCCAACAGGCCGAGGTAACCCCAGGGCTGCGGGGTTCTATACCACCGTGTGAGAGTCTTATAATTACACTCCTGAATCTTGGTGCATCTAGAGGTCTTGTGCGTAAGATATAGCATTTTGTCTCGCTGGTCTTGGGTGAACTGGAGCCCCAGTTCATTTTCCCACTTGGAAACATATGGGGGGTTACTAGCCTCTGTGTGGGATTCTAGCAGTGTGTAGACCATGGAAATTACATGACATAGTGGCGGGCCCGGTTTGCATTCTTCAAATTCTGTCAGGGGTCTTATAAACGCCGTGGCGTTTGGCAGAGATCTGAGAAAGTGAGACAACTGTATCTTTTGCCAGAATCTCAGAGGGAGCCACTGGGGTTCCCGTGACATGTCTTCTAGGGACACCAAGGAATCGTTCCGAGTAAAGTGTTAGGCCCTGTGGATACCCGCCTCCCCCATCTTATTCCCGAACAAATACCTGTTTTATACAAAAATATTTGCTGGTGATGCCACCTCTTTGGCTTTGTAGACCTATTTGCAGTTTAACGTGTACCTCTTCCTCTGTGCTCACATAATGACACTGCACATCAAATAAAGTACAAGATGAAATATTTTACCTTCAATGGGGCTATTGTTATCTTTTCCTGGGGTCCAACTTAAAGTCACACTTGTATCTTGAGGGTCAGAGAGTTCCAAGTTGTGAGGAGGCTCTGGTAAATCTAAAAGCATAACATTTAAAGCATGAGTAATACATATAATAAAACTGTTCATGTCTGCATGAACAGGCAAGCAGACACCTTATTAGTTTGGTTAGTTGGATGTACATTTAATTATAAAAAGACCATAAAATACATTTAATTATGCTAAGTACATAAAATTATGATTTTTGAATTACCAGTAAAAACTGTTCCTTGCATTACAGTACAGGACACAGGCAGAGTCAGACACCAATTAGATGGCTTATAATAATATGCAGGTATCATCAGGTGACTGAACACTGGTCAGAGCGGTGAGGACCTTTATATAATGCCTCCCACCCCAGAAATCCTAATTTTTAAAAAAACAGCATTAGAAAACACAGAGGGGAGGGTGTCGCGTGTCCTGTCCTGTACTCCAAGAAAAAGATTTTATTGGGAAGTCAAAAATCATATTTTTTTTTAACATACAGTGCAGGACACTGGCAGATTCAGAGACAACTGGGACGTCCAAAAGCAATATAACTGAGAGGTAGGCAACTGAGAGAACAGCCTGAACCACATCTAAGCAATGAAGAGCAACCCTTCTTAGGTTGTTTCAGAGCAGGACAAAAAAGATGGAAGGACGATGTCCCGATTAAGATGAAACAAAGATACCACCTTTCGCATAAAGGAAGTAAGAGACCTAAGAACAGCCTTATCCGTATGAAGCACAAAGAACAGTTCCATGGACGAAAGTGCAGTCAAAGTTAAAACAAACCATTGTACTAGAAAATCCCCTATGCACAGAAATCCCTAATTGGAGCTGATCTAATAAACAGGTTTACACATTTGGAGTATGAATGAGTATCAAAATTTGATAGTAACAGAATAAACACATTGAAACCCCTTCAACAAGACATTTAAAAACACACGCCCCTCTGAGGAAGCCCGTGTGATCGGGGGGAAACGCGTCAGGGCAACGTGTTTGTGAAAGCTTCCCTGGATACCCGTATCAGACCCTTATGCGGCCAACCAAACTGCATTGTTTCTCAAACCAAGGGATGGAACCAAAACTACCGGGACGCTGTCCGATCTGCAGCAGCTGATCAGCCTGCACAATCCAGGCTGAAATTGAGAAGTGCGAGCGAGTCATTGCCACTCGATCTCATTCGGCTTTGGGCTTTATTACATCACAGGCTCACCGCTGTGAGGACTCCAGCATATTTCATTCAGCTGCGCGGCCGCACAAGCTTGGAATCTCTTTGGATGTTCCCGTCACGGTTTGGAAACTAAACTCTGCGGGCAAGTGTGAGCACAGATCAGTGGGTGGAGAGGCAACCCCGAGATCCGGTTTTTCACCTAACAAAGTTGGATTTTCTGGAAATGCCACTGAGCAGTCTTGTTCCACGGCAAATTACATATCAGCACAGGATTCTATGAGGATTGTCCACCACTTTGAATCTTAAGTGACGTGAGTAAGCCCAGATACTAAGTATCCACATTTGATTGTGGCCATTGTGCTTGCACCAGTGACTATCTGCCGCTCAGACTATTACACTTATCGGGTTATCCTGAGGGAAGTCATTTTTAAGTGTTTTTAAATGTCTTGTTGAAGGTGTTTCAATGTGTTTATTCTGTTACTATTAAATTTTGATACTTATTCATACTCCAAATGTGTAAACCTGTTTATTAGATCAGCTCCAATTAGGGATTTCTGTGCATAGGGGATTTTCTAGTGTAACATAGTTTTATTGAAACCCTGGAGTTTGGTGTTTACTTTTGCTGTATTTTGCGTAGCTCCCTTTGTTCCCCGTAGTTTTTGAACAAACCATTGTACCTAATTTTCAAGGACTCCTTACTGACTGGAAGTGGTACCAACTGATTAGCGTACAACATCTGTTGTACCAATATTCAAAAAGGCATTGAGATGTCTGCCAGGGAACTACAGACCAGTCAGTCTAACATTAACAGTATGAAAATTATTCAAGGGAAAGGTAAAGGAATATATTCAATAATGTGCCTTTAGTAATGGTATCCTAAGAAACAACCAGCATGCATTTATGAAAGACTGTTCTTGTCAGACCAACCTATTCATTTTCTATGAGGTGGTGAGTAGGGATGGGCTGTATGTTCGAGTCAAACATGAGTTCGACTCGAACATCGCTAGTTCGTGTGTTCGCCGAAAGCAAAAAACTATAAGGATGTCCGCGGTCTCTTCGACCGCTCAACACCCCACTAGGCAATGCACCTTGTGAAGCTCTAATTGGGTAAAGGCTTGTACCTGATCACAGGTCATGTGCAAGACTTTGCCCAAGCAGGGCTCAGTACTCAGTTAGAGCCATGATTGGGCAAAGTCATGATGAATTTGCCCAATCATGGCTCATAGCGAAGTCCCAGCAGCACACTACATAAGGCTGCTTACACTGCAGCCCCACGTAGTGTGTTGCTGGAGCTCAAATAGAGAGAATCTATAGCAGAGTGCTATAGCAGAGTTCTATAGCATGTTGTGGATTTTTATTATGTGGACATTTTATTCTAGGATGTGTGTGTTTTATAGATTGTCATCTGTCTCTGTACTATAGCAGTCGGTCATACTGGTCTATTATAGTAGTCGATTCTAGCAGTCGATTATTGCAGTCTATTGCAATAAGCATCATGTCGGAAAGGCCAAAAAGGACAGGCAAACACCCCCATGCAGCAATAAGAGGGCAAGCAGCCTCTGTGTCCGCAGGCCAAAGTTGTGGTCGTGGTCATGGACGTAGTACATCCTCTACAGGCAGGCAACGCTTGTCCTTTCTATCTGGTGCTGGCCGTGTTATTCAGCAACAACATACAGAAGAGGTGGTGGATTGGATAACAAAGCCATCCTCATCCTCTGTTACCCAGACTCATACTGGTTCTCAGTCCACTGCAGCTGCCAAAGCGACCTATTCTGCCTCCTTGTCCACAGCTACTCCTGCCATAGACTCACCATCATGCATGGAGGAGTCAGCTGAATTGTTTCAACACACCGTCCGTGACATGCTGCTGGAGGATGTGCAGCAATTACAATGGTCTGATGTTGGCTCTGAAGTTGAGGAAAGGAGTAACATGAGCCTAGAGTGAGGGGGTGCCAATGATGCACAACAAACTGGCATTCATGTTCCCCCAGCTGCAGCATACTGCCAGGTTGGCTCCAGTGATGAGGACAAAGGGGGTGATGATGAGGAGGCCACTGACTCTACTTGGGTGCCTGATCTAACAGAGGAGGGAAGTGAGGAGGGGCACAACCCCAACAAGGCACAATGTCCTCCAGGGGCAGCTGTATGAGCAGCCAGCCCATTGCATCAGAAGGCAGAGCTGCACTGGTGCAGGGCACTGTTGTCTCACAGCATACTTCCAGGAACTCTGATGTTTGGGAGTTTTTCAGCACATGTGCAGCAGACAGCAGCATTGCTATTTGCACCCTGTCTCAAGAGGATCAAGCGTGGCAAAAACATCAGCCGCTTGGGTACCCCGTGCTTGAAGAGACATCTGACCACCTGCCACACAGCCCGTTGGCAACAGCACCATAGAAAGGACAACACTTCTCCTTGCTCCTCATCTGCCATCTCTACCCCCACTATATATCATGCCATGTCAACAGCCTCCACTGACAGGGATAATGTTATAGTAATGGGTGTCACGGGTCCTTCCATCAAATCTGCCAGGAGCCTACCAGCTGCAGATTTTAGAAGTCAAATTTCACTGCCCCAGCTGCTGCAGTGGAAAAAAAAGAAATACTGTCAACATGCTCAGCGTCTAAATGCCAGCTTGGCCAAATTGCTAGCTTTACAGCTGCTGCCTTTCCATCTGGTGGACTCTGTCCCTTCTGTGAATTTACAGAATGTGCTGTACCCAGTGGCAGGTTCCCAAACGCCAATTCTTTTCACGGAAGGCCATTCCAGCACTGTACCAGCATGTGGAAGGCAATGTTTTGGCCTCGTTGGACAAGGCAGTCAGCAGCAAGGTCCACATTACCGGTGACACATGATCTAGCAAGCATGGTGAGGGAAGTTATATTTCCTTCACGGAACACTGGGTAACTGCTTGCAGCTGAGAGGGATCCAGGACGGGGCTCCATGCTGGAGCTTGTTCAGCCACATCTCCAAAAAGCTGCTAATGTGAGATCTGTCTGCACCACCCCCTCCTCTTCGTCCTCCACGATGGCCTCCTCTGCAGAATTGTCAGGTGAACCAGCAGTTCCCCGTAAGCGTTCAAGGGGCTACGCAACGACTCAGGCAAAAAGATGCCATGCAGTGCTTGAGCTGGTTTGTCTAGGGGACAGGAGCCACACCGGGGCAGAGATTCTGTCAGTTCTGCAGGAGCAGGCCCACAGGTGGTTAACACCACGCCAGCTTGAGCCGGGAATGGTTGTATGTGACAATGGCAGCAACTTTCTTTCCGCCCTACGCCTGGGAAAGTTGAAGCATGTACCATGCTTGGCACGTGTCCTCAATTTGGTGGTAAAGCGTTTCTTAACCAGGTACCCAGGGCTGCAAGATCTTATGAGGCAGACCAGAAAAATCTGTAGCCATTCCAGGCGGTCGTACCCAGCAAGTGTTCGTCTGGCTGTAATTCAAAGGGAATTCCACCTGCCCACAAACTGTCTGATTTGTGACATGCCTACCAGGTGGAACTCCACTTTGGCAGTACTGCAGTGTCTGCACAAGCAGCAGAGGGCCACCAACGAGTACCTGTGTGAGAATGGCACAAGGACAGACTCAGGGGACCTTGGCTTTTTTTCCCCACGTCAGTGGCTGCTGATAAAGGATGCATGCACTGTACTGTCACCATTTGAGGAGGCGACGAGGATGGTGAGCAGGGACAATGTATGCATCAGTGACACAATCCAGGCAGAACAGTGGGAGGAAGAGGAGGACTTCCTTACCTCTCAAGGCCCCCTTTACGCAGACACAATTCCTGCGGGTCCGCAGATCACACAAGAGGAGGATTATGGCAGCCGTGGGGGCATTGAAGCAGAGGATGACATAAGGCAGTCTTCAAGGGAGGGTTTTCTGTCC